TATGAGCCCATCCGCATGGGCCAGGCATTTCAACCAAGCTGTCTTGATTCATTCTCCCATATATGCATATATTGATTTTCGGAGGATAATGTGCACGTGACGGAGGGCCTCACAAGGAAAGAAATCAAGGGAGTTTTTATAGTAACTCCGAGTGTTCCAAAACAAGGAAGAATCAAGCCTGTCAGAATATCAACGCAATCTCACGGATTTAGGAGGGCTTCGAAAGGAAAGATTTTAAAGAAGAGTTGACATTTGGCCATTCAATGGCTAGCCCATGGGCTGACGAGTGCCCTATATAAACCTTGCTCCATGAAGACATCAGACACACAACATCAGACAAACAAACCTATCTTTCGTCTCGCACTTTTCTTTTCCTAGACTTAGGATTTTATTTTTCAAGCACCTAGCGTAGTGAGTTCTTCGTTTTGCTAGTGTAAGTTTATTTTTCACGCAGACCGTCAAAGAACACATTTACCTCAAACATTACCCTTCCCAGTCCAGCTAAACTTTGTACGAGAATTTCATAATAGTTTAAATTGATGGCCTCAAAATGCAAACATCTCCACTTAGCCTCGTTGACTGATAGTCATGCAAATAAATTATTACAATGGAAATTTTATCAGCATTCATATTGAGAGTGTGGTGCTTCACCAAGCTTCCTTTTCGTGATTAAATGATGATCAAATCATGCACCAGCCACAATTTCCTTGCAATAGCCCAAGGCATGTGTTGTGAACCAACTTTTTAAAAGCATCTACATGGGTGTTCGAATTTATTCTAAACTTTGAAGCATATGAAGAACAAAATTTATACGATATTTGACATTGAGAAAATCAATGCAATTCAAATTGAGACTGTGGAGGAAACTAAATGGTAAGGGATTTGTTTAATATAGGATTACTATGTAAGTGATGTAACTTTTGAATGAACTTCTGTCTATAGGTTATGGGTTAGTAGTGATTAGGAGTAATAAGGGAAAAGCTTTCAGATCTATTTTCTCTTGTTTAGCTTTTACATAGATATTGTCACCTTGATTTTACCATAGAGCACTTGAGGATATTTTGCTCTCACTCAGAGATGTATTTTGTTGTGGTTTTTAGTTGTAAATTGGCTTTCTCAGTTGCTCTCTGACGTTCTAGTTGTAAATTCCTTCAGTAATCCCCATATCCACACAACATTTGAGGATTCTTTTTTCTCACCCAACATGTCTTTTGTTGTGGGTTTTAGTTGTAAATTCGCTTCCTCAATCACTCTGACGTGCTAGTTGTAAATTTCTTCAACAATCCCCATAATGACTTTCCATGTTATAAAATTTTCAAAATCCTGTGATAAATTTCTTTAGTGAATTGGAAATTGCCATTGAAGTCTAAAGAAGAAAATAGAGTATGAAAGATAGAGCATGGAAATCTTAAATCCAATTCCTAGCAATAATTGAAAAAAGGGTCCGAAGTCAATTCTTAACATCTTGAAAAGAAAAAAAAAACTAAATTCTTAAACTTAGGTTTCTTGATCGTTTTGATTAAAATAAAAAAAGAAAAAGGAAAATCCAACATATTGAAAGTCATTTGGAAATAACAATCGAAGATATTGAAAGTAGACAGATTACTGATCCACTAAAAATGTTTAAACTAATCCTGAGTATATGAAATATGCTAAAATCTAAACGAAGAAGGTAAAACCAAATGAAGTAATGCAATTATAAAAAAAGCCATGACCAATCGATGTGATAGTATTTCAGTTGTTGTCCAAAAATTAGTGTAAGATGTTTGTGGCAAATTTTGTTGGATATGGTCTTTTGAATATTTGACGGGTTTGCCAATTTAGCATTTTATTTTTATTTTAAAGAGATTATTATTACTAAAATTACCCTAATAGATTCTTACCTCAGATTATGATACTTTAATTTTTTTTTAAAATCAGTACACCATCTTCCACTGTGTGTCGCCTCATTTATTGCTTTCTTAAGCCAATCAATTTATTTCTTTACATAGACATTGTGATTTTTTTATAAATTTTTTATTATAATTGTTTTTCCCCGATTTTTGTTTATCGATAAGAGTAGTTTAAAGCATTATCCATTACTCGAGTCTCTATTGTCCAATTTTGAGTTTTTATTTTTCAGAGTTATTATCCATATAACGAATTTAGCATTTTCACGTTTAATATTCGTATTTTTCATGTTTAATACACTTATTATAACAAAATTTTAAATAATACACACAAAATTCACGTATTATACACAAAATACTCACATATTATTGAATAAAAATATTTAAATACTAATTATTCACTAAGAAATAATAATTGAAACATAACTACCAATTAAAGTAATTAAACAAGAGAAATTCAGAGTGCTATTCAATGGGTATAGCCGAGCGGCTATGCATAAAACAAAATTCTATTTATATAATATCGCCGCGAGGCTATACGTTTGAAATATTCTACTTGCAAGGTATCGCCACTGGGCTATACTCTTTTCACAAAAACGCACTAGGCGTGAGGAGGGTCTTATTTTATAAATAGTATAGTCGGTCGGCTGTACGCCGGTTTGTTTTTTGAAATAAAAGAAGAGCCTTTCGGCTTTACTGCGGTCTTTTTTTTTTAATTCTTTTTTTATAAATAGTATAGCCGAGCGGCTATAGGCGGGACTTTTTAAATTAAAAACTGTATAGCCGGGCGGCCTTACTGGGTTCTTTTTTATTTATGTAGTATAGCCGCACGGCTGAACTCTTCACATAGACACTAATCTCTTTTAGATAATTGTTTTCCCCTTATTTTTGTTTATCGATAAGAGTAGTTTAGAGCATTATACATTATTAGGCCATGACCTGAGTCTTTGTTGTCCCCTTTTAAGTTTTTACTTTTCCATAGTTATTACCCGTATAAAGAATTTAGCATCAACAAATGAAGAAGATATTTCAACAACTAGAACGACTTAAACCCACACAAGCTGTGCAAATTCATTTTGAACTCATATTCCAACATAAAGGAACATCCATTTCTTTCACAAAATGACAATGGTTAAAATGCTGATAAACTAATGCCGAGTAGCTAAAATGTGGTAAAAACCCTTTTGAATTGTTAAAATGTGCTGATAAACTAATGTTTCCCTGGACTTGGGAGAGTACAAACAACAATCCCTTCTACTAAAAGGAAAATACATTTAGCTATCAAAAAAGTAATTTTGTTATCTCATAATATACTGTAAATTGTAATGTCATATGTTAATCACCTCCAGTTTGTCACATGATAAATGCACCGTATGTAAATGTAGAAGCTCGGAATCCTCTTTAGAGTGTTGTGCTTATGCTTTTCCCTTCATCTTCCACAAAATTTCTACCTTTGTACCCTGTAATCTCATTCTAATTGGATAACAACTTTACAACACTAAGCACTGAATTCTTGTGGTTTATATACCAAAATGCAGAAAGCAAGCGTAATTTACTTATTGAGCAGTAAGTTTATGGGACAGTGTGATCATGATTTAATAGGGGTTATTAATGGAGGCTGTTGCCCCTGCTGTGTGTCTGTTGGAATCCACAACTCTGCATCCTTACTTGTGCTTGCCTGAGGAAGGGATTGAAAGTACGCGGTTATCTCCCACCTGCAATCTGTTATAAAGGAAAAGCTTACACACCTAGCAGCAATATCGAAAGGAAAGCAGACATGAAAATCCAAACCATGTTCATGAGCTCAACAACCACCCAAGCATATGGTCAATACTCAACCAATTAAACCAAAGCATTTGATAGAAAGTAGCAATTTTAAAGCGAAAACCAAACGCAACTACATCATTGAAAAAGAATTATATCAAATAGTATCCTAAGACAAAACTACAACACTGAAGCAAAAAAAATGAACATCAATGTACGGTTGTCAACTATGAAACTTAAAACTTACCCTGGGGAAGAACCCGTGTAAGGGATTCTGAGAAAGGAAGCTTGATAAAAAACGACCTTAGTGAGAACTCCAGGTCAGCTTCTTCCACCCTTGAGCCATAAGACTGATTCACAGTGAGCTTAAACATAAATCTTTCCACAGGGATGCTATCACTGTTAAAGAAAATAACTGCTACTCTTTCCACCAGACCCTAGTTTGTAAAATGTACGTCCGTTTTAGTGAAAATGGAACATCACCGGAATAAATACATTAAACGAATAAGAAAGACTGCATCTTTCTTTGAAAAATCAAAAGCAAAAAAGAAAACAAAAATCCAACCTTTTGGATGAAAGGATGAAGTCCCGAGACAGCAGAATGGATATAATCCCTGAGTTCAGGGTGACGAGCGCTATGAACCACCAAATTCATATATTTCCTTCTTTCAAAAGCACCTTTGCCCAAAACCAACCATCAGTGAAAGCAGTTGAAAATGCAAAAACAACAATTACTCATTATCCCGCGAAGCTCATATGCAATTTGAAAACTGGGTTTTGCTTTCTGGGTTCCCCAGATAATGAAGAAAAACATAACTCAAAGCCACAACTTTTTTTCTCAGCAACCAAAACGAGAAATGGGTTTAGAACAAACCTGGAGGGTAAATTCCTTTGAGGAAAACGATTGAAGTGATTGCCACCTCCAGGAATTCAACCAGAATCCGAGCTGTCTCACCTGCACCATTTTCAATTTGAATTATTCTCATCTAATAACCAAAACATACCAGAAGTAAAGAGGTTTTGAAACCAAAAAATAAGGAGAGTGATTATCTTTGCAAACTGTGTTGAATAATGTATAGCCGGACGGCTATATAAAAAAAAAATTATTTATAGAGTATAGCCGATCGGCTATGCGTTTGGAATATTCTGAATACGGAGTATAGCCGACCGGCTATACGCTAAGCTCTTTTCACAAAAACACGGGTCTTTTTTTCGCACGGCCGTACTCAGGATTTTTTTAATAAAAACCAGTATAACCGAGCGGCCTTACTGGGGTCCTTTTTAAAAAATTCTTGTTTATGAATAGTACAGCCGCTCGGACATACTCTTAAAAAGGTATCGCCGTGCGGCTTTACTTTTTTTTAAAATAGTATAGCCGCGCGGCGATAATCATTTCCAATAGGACACTGCCGGCTGGTAGCCAGGTCTGCATGACACGCTTCATCAACGCCTTCCCCATCAGTTCCGTTTCATCACTCTTCAACATGGGCCACAACTTGTCCTTCTGATCATTCATGCAGGTGTTGATAATCTGCTTGATGGGTTCATAACGGAACTGAACGAAACCACGCTTGTATGTAGCAGAACCACTGTTCTTGCTGGTCCATTTCTTGGTAGCTGGGTCGAAGTAGTTCTCACCTCAGAGCCTTTCCATCATCTTTGATTCATCAACTCCGAACTTGGATGCATACATCTTGGCAAAGTTGGTCAGAGTAAAGGCCCATCTGTGTAAACCAGCTGCAAAGGCGACTGTTCCTTTCACTGGATAGTACCTGGACATCACCAAGAAGGGGGTCTTCGTATGTAGCCAGAATGACATTAGCATTCTCAATAACCCTTTGGAATGCTCGGTAAGCCTCCTCTCCATCGACCTGGAGCTCAAGGAAGCACCTGTCCATCTTGTTAACAGTGAAAACAGGTCTGATCTTTTCTCCTAAGGCTTGACGAAGCAGAGTCTCTGTTTGGACACAAACACCCTCAATGCAATCAACCACCACAAGTGCACCGTCAGTAATACGAAGAGCAGCTGTGACTTCAGATGAAAAGTCAACGTGCCCAGGGGAATCAATGAGATTGATGAGGTACTCATTTCCGTTTCTCTCCCCCTTGTAGCTCTTCAAAGCTTCATCAGTCATCTCATAGTAGAGAGAGATACCAGTAGATTTGATTGTGATACCACGCCCTGCCTCATCTGCACGGGTATCTGTCATCCGGACATCACCAGCAACTTCTTGTGCAATGATACCAGCAGCAGCAACAAGAGAGTCGGTAAGGGTTGACTTCCCTGCATATTAAAATTCAGTACCATTATAGCTATGAACAAACACACAGGAGATTGAAACATGAACAAGAATGTAATGCAAATTTGAAAGCAAAAGGACAATTATACATTTGGGCAGGGCATAATCAACCAGATACAAGAAAGCAGCTCAAATTAACTCAAACAGAACACTATTAAGCACTCCATTATAAGCAGATGAGTGAAAATAATGTTACAAAGATAAGAATTATCAAGTGAAAAAAGTTATCGATACCATGATCAACATGTGCAATAACGGACATATTACGAATGTTATGCTTGTAGTCCATAATCCTACGGAGTTCCTCTGCTGTAAACTTCACCTGCACATATCAATAATATCTCTCCATTAAGAATTACGAAATTAACATAGCAGCCCAACAACCACTAAGCTTAGATTGATAGATTACACTTACCATCTTGACTAGTATTTAAGAGAAACCACCAATTTGTAATTATAAGGAGGTGAACCACCTGAAAATTAAAACCATAAAGATAATGAATCGAGGGTTCAATTGAACATTCAAGCAAGAAATTCAAGTAAATATCTATGAATACCCTCTACTTTGATAACTATTACTGTATCAAATATAAGGAGGAGGAGGTGGAAGAGAGGTTTTTTTTTTCCTTTTGATTTTTGTTTTTAATTTATTTAGTATTTTATTTAATTGGACTGTTTTACCCCTATGCAACGGTACCAATGCAACGATTAATAAAAAGTTGGTGTACCATTTGAATTAATGATTTAGTTAAGGGACCAAAATGCAACTCGGTATAAATTTGAGGACCACTTGAATAAATAACCCCAATAATTTTTCTTTTACTAGTTAAGGCAAATGAGATCACACCACCTATATCAATCGAGAAGTGCTTAGGGACACCATATTGGTTCAAATTTGGGTAACTTTAAAATAATATTTATTAACAACAAATAAAGTGTTGACATATCTACAAAAATAATTAATAATGTGAATAAATTAATTGAATCTAGCATTATTGTTAATAATAAAAGGAGGTATCATATCTACAAAAATAATTAATAATGTGATTTGTTTTTTTTTTCTAGGCATTTACCTAACCATTTTCCCCCTTGTTCATATAGTTTTTACCCATCCTAGTCCAGCTAAACTTTGTATGAGAATTTCATAATATTACAGCATCATATATAATATAGTTTAATTTGATGGCCCCAGAAATGCAAACACCTCCACTTAGCCTCGGTGACTGATAAACCAGATTATAATTGAGAGTATGAAATGTTAAGATTAAGAATATTAAAATGGAAATGATATATAGTGAAATGATCAACCCTAATATTTATGCAAATGACAGGACCCGTCCCGAATTTCCCGGAACCCGAGACGAACCCTGCGGAGACCCCGGCATCACACCCACGCCGGGTTCACTCCTTAAATCTATATCCTCGTTTACCAGAGAGGATTAAGGGCACGAGACTTTTTGCCGAAATTTCGGCAGAGTCTCCCCTGTAAATTGAACATTTTCCCAAAATTTCCACCTGCATAAAACACATTTTATAACCCAACCGGCAGCACGCACAATATAATCTCACGTAATTTACATAAATGGCCTCCGGCCTTCAAATGATTTTAGCAGAACTGCCCACAATGTTTTTAAAATAACTTAATGCATCAAACATGCATATAATAAATTCAAAATCTATTTATGCACACCTTCACTCACTTAGTCCCCAAGACAAGCCTCAATTCAACCAAGTTTCGGGACCAACAACGGGTCCAAACCAAACTTAATAAGACCACCTAAGTGGAGTCTAATATGTGGCTGCACCTAGTATCTTCAGGCTGCCTACGTACCCTACTAAGGGATCAAGCCACACGTAGCTCTTTCGTATCCATCCTGGCTCCTAATATCAGATAAACCATTACAACCATACAAATTCATACATTCTAGGATTTATTCATCACAACTCACCAAATACAATCACAGTATCTCCCCATACGCCGGAACATCCAAAGTTACGTATGGGACATATCCGCACGCCGGATAAACCCACGACACGTGAGATCTCATCAACATATCACATAATCCCCTCATACGACGGGACGTACCCGGCCTCGTATGGGGTCTGTCAACACGCCGGCTAATCCAAAGACGCGTGCGACCTCACACTGGGCCTGGCTACATTCTCACCAGCCCTCACACAATCATGTCTCCCCTCATACGTCGGGACGCACTCGACCACGTACGGGGTCTGTCAATACGCCGACTAATCCAAAGACGCGTGTGACCTCAACACTGGGCCTGGCTACATTCTCACCAGCCCGCACACAATCATATCTCCCCTCATACGTCGGGACGCACCCGGCCACATATGAGGTCTGTCAACACGCCGGCTAATCCAAAGACGCGTGCGACCTCACACTGGGTCTGGTTACATTCTCACCAGCCCTCACACAATCATATCTCCCCTCATACATCGGGACGCACTCAGCCACGTATGGGGTCTGTCAACACGCCGGCTAATCCAAAGACTCGTGCGGTCAACCCAGCTAGAAAACCAATAATTCAATGACCAAAAAACAATCATGGAGTTGTACAGAAAATTCAAAGTTCCAAAATAAGTTGGATTAAATCACTTCTCATATAATCTCCACTTCAATCTAACAGATGAGTGAAATAAACGAATGAAATTGACATTTTCAAACTCAGAAAGTATAGAACGAACTCGGAGAAATCCTTGAATTGATGTGAAACCGAGACCTTCATTGCATCTCATAGAACTTGAACATGGAAACTCTCTGAACCACATTCAAACATTGAAATTTCCTTGTATATCTCTTATTTCGGGAGGGAATGAGTGACAACACCAGCAGCAGTAGCAGTAGAAACAATCATTTTATTCATAACCAAACCGAACTTCATCTCATCACGTTTTCCTTGGAACCCCTTCATGGAGATTATCCTAATATGTGAAGACAGACAAGTAGGCACAAATGCTAGTGGACAGAAAGGGTTATTTTCTATGTTCAACATACTATCAAGGTCTAGGTTAAGAGATTCTAGATGAGGTGATCGGTTCAGATATTCTATGAGCAATGTCTAGTAACCAGAATGAAGTAGTCCTAGCTCCAACTATTTCAAATGTTTAAAGATAGCAGGCAAAAGTAAACCATCCAAACTAGAAGCTAGAAGAGAAAGATACGTGACATTGGAAATTCCTATAGTAAACGGAGGCACAAGGTAATCACAGGCTAGACTTTCACCTACTGGAAGCCTATAGGGACGAATTTTGGCTGTGGATTTTAGAAAACATAAAATGGCATATGAGCACCAACTGAAGACATCGACAATCAAGTTTTCAAGCTTTGGGGAATTCATGAAGAGTAACGACCGATTTTTACCCAGATTTTTCGAAGCTCGTTCCGGCGATTCCGGCCACCAAATCTTGCGATCAAGGTATGCTTTCTCATCTATTTTCCGAGCTCTAGCTGCCTGTTGGGTAGGAATTGATCAATTTGTAGCGTAGGCAACTCGATTTACGAATTGAGTTTCGACCGGATTTCGAGGGGAGATTCCGGCCACTTCCGGTCAATTTTTGGGGTATGCCCAAGAACAAAAGTGATTCCAAATTAGGTGTATTACCTAGGATAGGAGTCTTGGCTCACGATTTGTAAGTTTTCCGGCGATGCGATATCACTTTAGACACCCACGCGCTGCCGGCGCGTGTGGCGGCGCGTGGGCACTGTAGCTGAGAGGCTTTTTTATCCCACTGTGATCCTCTCGATGTCACGAGCGCGTAGGTGTGCTCGGATCTCATTTTGGATACCGTTAGAGTTCCGAACGGATATCGCATATCGCGTATTTTCCGGGTTCG